AGGACCACTTATTCCTCTCTTAACTTTCCTGTATAGCTTTTGCTATCTAGAAACCTTATCTTCAGACCTTTTTTAGTCTGAAGTATCATTTAGCGATGCCATTTTAGTATACTGCCCTTGTTTCTCTCATTTCGCATCTATCATTACGCAGACACAAATCTCCCACGTGCTCTCTTTCAAATAAAATTGAACACAGCCTTTTTTTAAAAGGTCATCTTTAAAATTATATACAATAAATCTAACGCTGGTAAAAATCTATTTTAACAGCACTTCTCTCTCATCCCCATATTTCATCTCCACTGAATATTAAGCAGCACAAATCAAAGGATAGAGTTTGTTGACTGCTTCTGACTAGCGACTTTCACAACCATGGCATTAAAGCCTGATGTAGCGGTATTTCTATAATTAATGAGGCTAACCCAAAGACACGGACCACAAGCACTTCATCATTTCCTTCTGAACCCCAAATCTGAGCTACCATTTCCTTCCTAACATTAATTCCTCATTTATGTTCTTACCCTGCATCTGTACAGCTACTGAAGAGGGAAATAATCTTTCTTCTCATCGTAAATCATGCAGATGTGCTTATCAAGTCCAAACAGAGTCTCTGGATCATTCAGGAGAATGAAGAACCCAAAATAATTTTTAAATGCCAAAAGAATATAGATAGTCCAAAGGTTTTTCAAGTTATAAATTAATCAAACACATTTATGAGAATGTAGAATTAAGAAATTAAAGGTCCCCTATATCTTAGCAATTTCTAAAGACAGAATTTTATAGTTATTTAGTCATCCAACAACACCGATTGTCAGGCAATGGAGCATTAGCATAACTTCAGTGAATAGGGCTACTATGCTGCTGCTTTTCAAAATCTGATAAGGCATCTACTTGCAGCACTGTTCAACAAGGAGGTCCCCCAACACCTTTCCCACATCACTACTTTGCTTTCTCCTCTCTCTCTTCCTTCTCTGCATTGCTCCCTTGTTTGGGCTGGAAATCTCTGCTGCTGTGTCTTTGTTCTCAGCTACCTGTTTTCTCAACCAGAGCACACACAGATGCCCACTCTCTGCAGTGGCCTATCTTCCTTGCATATGAAAGTCCACAAGTGGCCACCTTCCTAGTTTTCTTAGTCTTTTTCTTTGCTTTTGCTGTCTCTCAGGATAACCATTTCCCTCTCCAATTTGTGAAGGCAAGTCGGATTCTGTCCCTAAAGGCTACTCTTGCTCAAAACAGTCCATCCCTCCCAAAAACTCCACTGTGGAAGAAGCAGGTCTTTTGCCTTGCCTTCTGCAGTTCAAATGCCTCATGGCCTACCACAAGGCAGGCATTTAGAGATCCTAGGCACAGAACTGGCTGTGTCTCCTGCCCACCCACTCACCTCTCTGGCTCTTCCTGCAGGGGAGCAGCTCAGTTCCTGCTGTCCATCATGGGATGGGTTGGGATGTAAAGGAGGTAGCTCAGTAAGACCTCATATCCAAAATCTATCACTTTTTGTGCAGGCACAGGAAACCTGTCAGGACCACTACAAGTACTTTTTGCTAAGATATTGGGGAGTAATCCTTAAAACAAAAAAACTAGACTTCCTGATCTCTCTGCTTTGGCTTGCAGAGAGAAGAGCCATTGAGGAACTGCTGAGGCCAGGCAGTACTCGCCTCATGCAGCCTGAGCAGGAGGAGATGCTTTGCTCTTTCTCTTTGGCTGGGGCTGGAGCATATTCAGGGTAGGGAAAATGGGGTTTCTACCTACAGAAAAACAGGGAAGCTTGGAGACCCATTCAGATAGAGCTATTTCTCTCTTCTACCCACACCCCTTGGGGATTGCATGTGTGCCTAATATGCAGAGGCTGAGCTTCTTCTCATACTGAAGACTGTGTCTTTTCTCCTCTCTTCTCCAGCTGATCCCCAAACTATGCTTGCTGCAGCTGCTGTCAGCTCTCTGGCTCCTGCCACCCCACCATGTCCTGCAGGCAGGCAGGTAGCAAGGAACGGGAGAGGCTGCAGATGAGGCTGATCTCACTGTTCATGGGTAAGTGTCCAGATACAGGGGGATGGATATCATATCACAGTCTAATGTTCCCATAGTTAAAAGCAGATATTTATCTTTCATGTCCTTCAAAGGACAAACAAATTACAAAGCAAAACGTGTAAATATGCAAAATTAAACTATAGTAAACCCAACTCTTTCATCCTTGGAGCACACATAGGATGAAAAGCCCCCTGGTGTGGCTCCAGTTTATGCAATACTCAGAAGCAAATCAGCATTAGCCCATTATTATACAGTATTACAATGTCTTTGGCTATGTACTGCTTAGATATTGCTGTAAATGCAGACTTGCAAAACTGCCATGAACATTTACCTGTGCAAGCACACCACTTTCTTCCTCAACCTTGCAAGAACCATAAAGAAGTGGAAACAAAACACCCTAGTAACAGTCTAGCTTTCAATGAAAGGAAAATACACATGTCTGGGAGAAGTAAACCTTTTCATATCTTCGATAAATGCACGACTCTTTGTAAATATATACAGAAGAGTAACATAGTTGCCCTGAAGACCAAGTCTAAGTAACAATGTATTAGTTCAAAGACACTAAAAAGACGATGAAAGTTGGAAAATAGTTCAAGGAAGACCAGCAAATGTTATCTGTGCACAAACCAGGACTCTGCCTCTTCCCTAAACTGCTGAGGTCCAAACTCGCAGCTTGGCAGGAAGAGTTTGTGCTAGAGTGAAAGACAGCTGAGGCAGGACAATTGATACCTTCTCTATCCCACCATAGCAAACCCATTGTACAAATTCATGACAAAGCCACATTGTTAAGCCAATCAAGATGCACTATGATTCTCCAGAACATTTCTCCTCAGGAAAAACAACTTCAAATAGAAATTTGGGGTGGGGGGGGTGGGGGTGGGGGGAAGCTTTATTTCAGCAAATGCTTTTAAAAATCAAAATCTAATGCAACCAGAACTCTGTGTCATGAAGTGTTTCACACACATTTCTTCTTGTTTCAGGTTAATTTTTTTTTCCAATCAGCAGGAATCTAGTGCTGTGGTAACTATTCCACTCTGGGGATGGTTCACAGTAAGGCTCATCATGCAGCACAGCTAGAATTGTGAGTTTAGTCTGATCATAGAGATAAAAGCCTCAGGTATTTACCTATGACACTGAAGGGAAAAAACAAACAAGACAAAACCCATCAAAATCTTCCTCCACCCAACCTGATTCTCATGCAGGGGATCAGCAACCTACTCTGCCCCACTGCACACTGTGCACTATGATTACCAGGCCCTCAGCTGCTTTCCTTAGGGATCTTCCTCTCCCTGAGGGGTGACTGCCCATCCTTGCAGACTGCAAACTGGCCTCAAGAGCAAGAGACAAATTATACAAATATTTGCTGTGGGAAGCCTAACTGACTGTAATCTTTCAGTGCTGGTGTGCCAATGGAAAAGTTCTAGCAGAATTTGGCCACCAAAACTATGGCCCCATCTGAGGAATAGTGCTGCATGAAATCTCATTCAAAGCAAAATCCAATCCAAAGGCAGACTTTTGGAGAAAACTGGTAACGGACCTCAAGCCAATAACCTTCCAAAGCCAAGTAGAGCGTTCATCTCTGAAGGAGATCAGTAATACTGAGGGACTTGCCCTGTGGATGGAGAAAAAGAAGGTGGCTGTCAAAAAATCCATGGAACAACCAACAGCTCCCTGCTGTGATGTGATGGTACTTTATCTGTAATGAAAGCTGTCAGCAAAAAGTTAAGCCCAGAAAATATTTTGTGCGTGCTTATATGCAATGGGGAGTTGAGACCAGTAAAGCTGAGACCCTTACTGGCTGCAAATGCCCAACAATCTGGCTGAATAATTAATAAGCTTTGGATACTCAATATAAAATCAAAGGTGGCAGCCAATTAGGAACAGAGTTCTAAACCAAAATCAATAACATCAAAAGCAAAATAAGGGTTTAAAGAAAAAAATCCATGTTATTTTTCTTCTTTCTTTACCTGTTACAAGATGAAGTTTTCCTTTCAAAAACGGCAAGGAAGGGCTCACTTTAGGCAGTGACAGCCTCTTTTCCCCCTCATGCAAGGAAGTGTTCTACACTGCTTTGTGGCACTGAAATGTACAAAGCTTTCCTACGTTGTTTAAGAGCTGCACACTTCTCTACATACAAAAAAAAAAAAAAAAAAAAGAAAAGAAAAGCCCAGGATTGTTTTCAAAGGTGATGAACTCCTGTAGTTTGCAGTGGCTTCAGCACTCCTACAAACCAATAGACTTCTGACTCCTGGGTAGTCACAGCCCGAACAAGTTTTTAATGGGTTTTTGTTTGTTTGTTGGGTTTGGTTGTTCTGGTTTTGTTTGTTTGTTTGTTTTTGTTTGGGTTTTTTTTTCGTTGTTTGGTTTTGGTTTTTCGCCATCCCTTCATCGCACAGCATTTGTTACAGGCATATCCACAGAATCAGTTAGGGTGGAAAATGCCTCTGAGATCATCAAGTCCAACCTATGATGGAATATATCCGTGTCAACTAGACCATGGCTCTGACTGCCACGTCCAGCCTTTCCTTAAACACCTCCAGGGATGGTGACTTGCAGCCCATTCCAATGTCTAACCACTCTTTCTATGAAGAAATCCCCCCTAATGCCCAACCTAAACGTTCCCTGGTGCAGCTTAAGACTACGTCCTCTCTCCTGTCTCTTGTTGCCTGGGAGAACAACATTGGTACTTTCTTCCCTCTATTTCCGGCTACGAGATTCTTGGATCCCAAGGCTACAACCGCACGGAAAGCAAATGTATCGTCAGACACCCTCAGAGGAGTCCCGGAAACTGGAAGAAAAAAGAAAAGAAAAGAAAAGAAAAGAAAAGAAAAGAAAAGAAAAGAAAAGAAAAGAAAAGAAAAGAAAAGAAAAGAAAAGAAAAGAAAAGAAAAAAAAAAAAAGAATGTCCAACCCCGCACTATCCAAATCCTCCTTTTTCCCCTCAAAACCCGCCCCCGCCGCCCGGAAGGGGCGCGGCCGTGCGCGCGGCGCGGTGACGTCACAGCCCCGCCTCCGCTGCTCTGTGCGACGTGTCCCTGGTCCGGCGGCGCGGGCGGTGAGGGAGAGGGGCGTCCAGGGGGATCCCGGGGCGGGTCCCAGGGGTCCCCCCGCCCGGGGGGGCAGGCACGAGGGGTCGGGCAGCAGGGCCACTGAGCCCCAGGAGGGCGCGGGGGCCGAGGCCGGAGGTGGCGGGGGAGCTGCGGCGGGCAGAGCCGGCCTCGGCCGCAGCGCGGGGGAGGGGAGGCGCTGGGAGAGGCGGGAGGGTCCGGCCTCTGATCGGGATGTCAAGGGGTCCGTGCGAGTTAATGCCAGCGGATCCCCCCAGGCTGGGGTCCTGCGCGGGGTGGCAGTGCTGGCACTTGTGTGCTGTGAGAACGGGACGCGGCCATAGCGTTCCCCCGGTGCAGCTTTGGGCTGGGGGCGCTTCTTGAAACCAGTGACTTCTGCCTGTTCAGACATCTTCAGCAGTGTTTTCTGAAACGCGGCGTAGGACATAAGCTGAGAGGAAAATCTGATGGAGCTGTTGTTTTCTGTGCCGACAGGCATAATTTTTCCTATTTTTTTTTTTTCAGTCAGAAGTAGGCCCTCATGTTTGTTTACTGATACAGTCTCTTCATTTTCTGCAAAGTGGAAGTATCTTTTAAAGTCCACTTAGGTTGGAATATGAAATTTTAAGTTATCTTAAGTATTTACAAATTTTGTAGGTAACTGCTATTTCTGTAATTAAAAAATTCTGTTTTGCAATATATATATATATATATATGTGGAACCATCAATGCTAAATGCATTCACCTTTGCAGGTAATCATGGATCAGGTAATGCAATTTGTGGAACCCAGCCGTCAGTTTGTGAAAGACTCCATACGACTTGTTAAAAGATGCACCAAGCCTGACAGGAAAGGTAAAGCACACAATAAACCAGAACACAAACTTATATCTTACCACGTGTCTTTCCATATGTCACTTCTGCTGATTAATTTGCTGTGAATGTTTCTCATCTGCCAGTATGAGATTTAAACTTGAGCAGTTGTCTAAATGGTAATGGATTTATGGTTCTGGATGTAATAAACTTGGATGTGTTCTTTTCTGGTACATACGTAGGTGTGTGAGTGGAAGTAAAACTCACGTTATGAAACAGGCTAAGTAGCTGAAATTAGCCATTTTGAGACAGGCAAGCAATGCTTTTCATGTATTAAGTAAACTGATCTGAAAAGAACTTGTGTGCACTTTGAAGTGACAAATGAAGCAGTCAGATGTGACTGATTGCAGTGAAATTGGGGGAAATTCTAGTGGAAAAGACTTTATTTTAGGAGACTTCAATGGAGCCAGAACTGCTTTATGTAGTGCCCATTCAGTGCTCCACAGTTGTCAGACACTGCCTGATTGGGATGGGAAGAATTTTGTTGCTGGGAGTATAGCAGAGAGGTTTTGGACTTTCTCAAAGGCCTTAGAGAGAAGCTGTAACTGTAACCAGAATGCAACTGGTCATTCTTACTGTTAATATTTACAATGCTTTATTTATGTGCTAAGAGTGAACAATTCTATGACTCTAAGTTTACTGGCATCTTTTGAGATCAGTAGGGAACTTCATTCATGGTCAGACTAGCAGTTTTGTTGACCTTCTTAGTCCACTTCATGGTTGCTGTCTTAAAATAATTGAAAATATCACAAGTACTCAATTTTTGTGGGGACTTAAGGTGCTGTCCTTCTGTGACAGACATTAATGGAGCTTTTATATTTTTGATACTGTATTGGGGATTATTTTCAGGGCTTGTAGGGTTGTAAAGGAAAGATAAAGGAAAAAATGTTCCATGAATTGTCATGGATTGTGGATATTTCTGATTTTGCTACTTAAAAAAATTGTGATTGGCCATTGTTTGTGGAAAGCAGCACCTTCTCTCTTAAAATTATCATCTGTCTTCTGAAAAAGTGGATTTGTTTCTCAGGGTCACTGCAGTGACTATTTCCAGAACTATTTCCTGTGTTAACATTATTCTCTAAAGAGATACCTCTCCTGTGGTCACTGCAGTGCACATCTATATGCCAATACATGAGACTTCCTAGACAATTTTTTTTGGTTTTGTTTTTGCAGAGTTCCAGAAGATTGCCATGGCAACAGCAATAGGCTTTGCAATAATGGGATTTATTGGTTTCTTTGTCAAATTGATCCATATCCCAATCAACAATATAATTGTGTAAGTAAATATGACCTTTAATTTCACTAAATTTTTACCTGTTCATTTTTAAACAGAGGATGTCAGTGAGCTCTACAGGATCCATGTTGCTTTAGTGTCTGCATTTCACATGTTAGTGTAATGTAAAAGGAGTTACTTGATTCAAAGAACTTAATCAGCAAGTAGGTTGTTAATTTAGCATGCTGCAAAATATTAGATCTGTAGATCTTAGTTTTTTTTCTGAGTATTCTGCTTCAAAACTGAACTTCAAATATTTTCATTTCCAGTTCCTTAGTGTGTGTTTGACCATAGAACATTTACTTTATTCGGATCTTATACTCTCACAATTTGCAGTTTATAATTTGGGTATCCAAAGTAAACAGGATGGATGGTAAGGTAAAGAAAACTGAGTGGGTGTCCTGCAAGATGACAGAGCACAGAACAAAATTGGTCTTGTTTCATTTACTCTGCTAGATGTGTTTCAAAGTTTGGTTTATGTGTAACTGCATTCTGTAAAATCCCTTTTGGAATGAATGTTGCAGCAGGAAAATCTTGACCCTTAAGTTGACTGGCACCATTGTACTGACCCATTAACACTACCAGTTAAAACTCCTCTTGTTATTCAGAGCTGATGTAATGCCCTTTCTAGCACTGGAAGAGATTAAATACTGTTCTGTGACCATGATGTGTGGCTTGCTTATACGTGTAAGAGTGGTCCTGTAGGCAAGGAGAAGTGTTTGAAAATAGGAGATAAGCTGCAATGGTAGTAAAGGTTGTCCTAGCAATGCAGTGGTGGGAGGATAAATTAGTCTTCAGGTGGGATCACTTGATTAGTTGAAACTGATTACTTTGTTCTCTCAACAGAGGTGGCTGAATATTCATCATGAAGAAGAAGAAGACAGTTGAGACACCTGCTGCAAAGATTTCACAGCTTTAATTTGTTTGATATTAAACAAGCTCAGTTTGGGTTTTCAAACACTGTTGTCACCTTATTTTGCTTTTAAAGTGTATGTGATCATACCTGTCTATATTACAGGATTTTTTTCTTTTCTAGTAGTAGTGCCTTTTGTTTGTTTTGTTACATCTTTTAACTGGTAGTAGAATCATTCAGGTAGGAAGGAAGCTTGGGAGGTCTCTAGTCCAGTGTCCTGCTCCTCGCTGGGTCAGTGTTGCACTCTTGACAAGATTGCTTAAGCTTTGTCCAGTCAGATATTGGAAGCTTCCAAGGATGACAACTGTATGACCTCTCTTCAGGAGCTGTTTACTAAGCAGTAAACTAAGCATAGGAACAGCATTGTTCCAGCAAAAGTAGACAGCAAGAAAACAGCATTCCTGTATCCTTTCAGGTGGTAATTTAAAAGTCTTATCAACTGAAATTCTTGTCACTAATTTCTAGAATCACCATCGTTATCACTAATTCCTTTCTGCATTTGGAAGTCCTGCTAGGTTATATTATGTACTTGACTGGAAAAATCCTCCATCAAATGAAGAACTTGCATGGCCAGTCCTTATTCTGATGGCATAATTAAAAAAGCCAAACTTAGTTGGTTACTGAGATGTACCATTTGAGGATAATTTAGTTGTCAGAGAGGCTAAGCAGTCCTTCTGCAAATCTGCAACTTCCTCACACTGTTGGATACTCTTCTGCACACAGAATTATAAAGGGCTGTGCATGTTGACCTGAAAGTCAGCATTTTGATTTTAAGAACTAAGCCTGCAAAAACTCTAGTAGGTGCAATGCTATTCCTCCTCAGATTGAGATTAAGAAATTTATTTCACTCCAGAAAGCTTACTGTAAGCATTTAGTATTTGCAGAAGCTACAATGGCACTTCTATTACAGATTTTAAAAGCACTTAATACTTAGAAATCTGATATTGATATTACAGGAAAACTGAAGCTCTTTCAGTACACAGACTTGTTTCCTAAGTAGAAAAGTTCAACTATTATTCTTCTTGAGAAATCTTCACCAGCAGCTACGTATGTTAGAAACCAGGACAGAAAAATTACATTACCTAATCCTAGTGCTATCACCTTGTAATACAGTTACACTGTGTGCAACTGGGTACTGTATTTTCTTTTGGCAAAAGGGGAAAAACAGTTCAGTATTGCAATAAAATACTTTGCAAAAGTAGTCTGGACTAACCAGATAAGCAGTAGCAGTTTCTTTACATTCATTTTTGTTTGTGACTGTACTGAGTGGCTGCTCATGTGTCTAATGGTTTGGTAGTGTGAGGTACCAGAATGAAGTACTCTATTACTGCAAGTAGTTTCGATTGGATCTCAAGTAACTTTTATTTCAGACTTGTTTTCCATTCGATACATAAAATCAGTGCCTGCTTATATTTTTTGGAACAGCTTTACTGTCTTAATTCAGTAAAATTTTGCAGTAATTGGAGTTGTGTTGGATCAGAAAAGGCAGCTGTAGCTGATCTTATCTTTTGATAGCCATTGTCCACAGCAAAGGTTTGTCTGTGTCGACAGTCACAATCCCAGAGCCATCATAGGTGTTGGAAGTACTGACGAGAGTCCCAAACTTCAGCACCTGGTTAGCTGTGAAAAAGAAATAAGAGACTTAGTGTTACTCTTCAACAATAAATGCACATCAGTGCATTTGTTTCAAAAGATGGCTGCTCCCACAAAGAATGAAAAAATTGCTGAATAAATCTAACCCAGATAAACATAATTAAAATACCTACGTTAAATGTTAATTAGAAGGCTTCAGTGAAGCTTTTTGATGACCTGTAGTGGGAATAAATTAATACTTAATCCCCAAATTAACATTTTGATTTTATAGCAGATTATTACAAAAGCAGTATGTCAGATATTCCCCAGAGTTTCACATCTGGAAATTTGTACTTCATTAGCATCAGCTCAAGTACCAGTGCTAGAAAAGGTATTTAAAGTAAGACAAGGCAGAGGATCTTATTTTACTTCCAAATTTGGGATTTGCTTTAGCTCAACAACAAACCAGTAGTCTTTTAAAACATGAACAGTTCTAGAGCAAAGGCTAACAGTTAAAAGGGGTATTATTTAAGAACTTTGAATCAAGTGACTTGCATGTTTTCTTCTATTGCATGCCTAGTGAGGTAGGTGTCTGTGTACGTTAGAAACCACATGGCATTACTCTTAACAATACCAAAACGTGCAGGTTTTGTCTTTAATTTCTTCCCTTTTTGATATAGCATTGCTTGCATTTTGCAAACGTATGAACTTCCGCAATGGTACTCCACAACTAGTCAGTTCTGTTAGTCCTTGCTTATAGAAGGGTTCAGAGTAAGAACTCTTAGTCTCCTTTGCTTTAGCCTGTAAAACAAGCCAAATGACAGCTCTTACTCACTGGCAGCACAGAGATAGATTTCCATGGAGGATACAAGGAGAGCTGCAGCTGAGGAGAATTATTCAGGAAGATCAGCAAGTCTGTGTGGCCTAACAGAATTGCCAAATTGTGCATTAATACTGAAGGAAAAATCCTCTGGGTTTGCTATTGAGTGACCCACTGCAAATTGAGATCTCCCAGTGATCGAAAGGTGTGCAGAGCAACTTAGTAAACTCTATTTTGTGATTTGTGCAGGAGACGCATTTTCCCATGTTGAATATCAACACAGGCTGTAGTACACTTGGGTGTAGTGCATGATTACAATGCATGCTACACTGTCTACCTGTTGTAAGCTGCACAGGAGGAATGGATCTTGCCAGGCTGTATGGCTTTAAAATAAGGGACAGTCTGACAAAAGCCAAGACATGTGGTTCAGTATCTCTTCTGCCAAATCTGTGCTTGCTGCTACTTATTCCTACTCCTATGCTTGTTATTAGCTTGAAATGAAATGAACTGAAGAGAAGGTTTCAGCTGCTAGCTCTGTTGGAACAAGAGTAACACCCAAATTTCAGTACTACTGCAAATGGAAGAGTCTTGCCATTTGAATTTCTCAGGAGCTGGGAGCATAACTGCAGTGCAGTGCAGAAATTCAGCAAAGAGAGCAAAAGAAAAGTACCACTGTATTTGATCAACTGCGTACCTAAAATAAAGGTGCTAGATTCTATCAGGGTGCTTTTGGACACACAACAGCACTGGGGAGGCTTCTAGACAAATGCCAGGATCAATGAGTTCTGGTGTTTGCCTCTGGAAGATACACAGCAGAGGCCACTGGGGTCTTGCCAGAAGTTGATGCACTGGAACTGCATTGCTAGAGAACCCAGATTTCACCGTTTACAGGTAAAAAAGTCATTTACTGATGAGGCAACACATGGGTAGAGTTCCCTGTGTAAAAATACTCCCAAAACAGTGTTAAGTCAAATCAAGTTATGAATGCTGCCAGTCAGTTTTAAGTAGGAAAGAACCGTAAATAGTTTAAAATAATTATTGACACACAAATTACCCATATTTGGTTACTATATATTGAAGCTTGAAGGGAGTGGGGAGGAAGAACCTTGTGGATCAACTGCTGTATAAACCCACTCATTTAGTATCATTTATTGCTTCTTGCTCAAGAGTCAGAATAATACTTAATGTTTCACAGCTTTGCATATGAAATAATGGCTCTGTAGAAGGCAAGAATTAACAACATGGCAGCTTAATGAAACAAAATCTAAAGCTGTATTTCTTCATGCATAAAATTAAGTGAAAATGAGAGCATTTTTTTTCTTTAAATAGAAAATTCTTGCCCGCTAGATGGAGCTTTTTATCTTTATCAGGTTTTCTTCTCACAAGGATCACAGTTTGAAATGCTGAAGTGAAAAAATGCAAAAACTATAAAACAGTACTGCTGATTCACGTGGGTCAAATGGACCAACTCCAAGCACTTGGTTTCACAACCAGCCAACATTTCCACTAACATAATTAAAAATGCATGCTTTCCATTCAGTAAATGAACAGTAATTAATGTGAAGAACTAGGTTTGAGCCAGTAAAGGAAATAAAGAGGATGTACATACATACTGCTGCTGTCATGCATTTTGATGTGAAGTTTACAAGGTCAAAGAAGTGGGAAGTTTTATCAGTTCATACCTGATCCATTCCTTTTTTCAAATGAATTTCAGTTGTATTTGTTAAGTCTTAGTGAGAGCTTATGCCTTGGGAAAAAAACCCTATTACAACACCATTCTTGCTCTTGAGATTATTTCTCATGAAATGCATTCCAAAGAAAACCACTTTTTTGTTTTCTAATATTTAGCATTTATAGTTTTGCTGGGTAGCAAACTCAATTTTAATAAAGGATTTCACATTTTGATTTAAAAAATTATCTAAATCTCAAAAACCTGGGAATTCTAGAATTTTCTAATTAAAAGAAATCTTATTTTGGATCACTGAAAATTTTCTTCTCTTGTTTTTCATGAGAACTTTCAAGAACTGATTTGGATAAACCCATAAGTGATTTATTAAAAGCAACCCCCACACACACCTGCTTCCAGCACTGTTAGAAGTTTTGCTTAGTGCTTTGGTTCCATTCAGACTGTGTTTACTGATAATAGACTGTTGATGAGAAAAATACCCAGCTCCTCCATTGTAGCTATATAGTGTTTCACATTACTCTCCACCAGTCCAGCATAGACTTCAATACTAAAAGCAAATGCTGTTCCTGCCTTTATTTTTTGGGGGAAAAAAACCCCAAACACACAACAACAGCAAAAAAACCCAACAACCCAACACAATCAGAGAGAGCTTTTTGTGGTGTGCCCTATGTTCTTATCAGTAAGGACTTACTGATAGATTGCAACATACCATTACTTCAGACCAAAACATGGGCATAGAGAGGACTTATTTTGATGAGGTAATGGAGGAATGTTTTTCTAGCAGTTTTTGTTTTGTTTATCAGGTGTTTGAATCTGCCAGTGTTTGAGAATGTTAGAAATCATTTAGAGAAGAAATTTGAGGGCATGTAGGTAAGCTTCCCAAAGGAGCATAGTCACAAAGATCACTATTTCTTAGACGTGTCTTTTGCTGACCAAGTTATATGACTAAAGAGGAAAATTAACCCTGAGACTGCCAATTTCCACGATTTTATTGCTCATATTTTGATTTTTTTTTAAATATGCAAATCTAAGGATGCCATGTGGACAATGTTAATCTCGGTTTAAGAATTGATGACTTAAGGTTGCAAGAACAACATTTGGAAATGTTAACAAAATGCACCCTATAAGTAGTCAAGATATATAATCAAACAAAAAACCCAAACTTGAAAATTTATTTCGAAATCTCATCATATTTATACCTCTACCACAGTTAGGAGTTATTTTTGAGTTGATGGTACCATAAATGATTCCTAAGCCTTGCTTGCAATCTTTGTGCTGCCGACTTTCAGCCTGGAAACTGAGAAATAGTGTGGACTAATTATAAATAGATTGGGAGTCATCATGTTGGGTGCTGCAGAAATACTAACTCCCACTATCAGGTAATCTCTCTTAATAATTCTATTAATGATCTAGTAGATTTATAAACATTATTCATTATTTCTATAACTTCATTGTACTATTTAGGATATATATATATATATATATACACACACACAGGGCTTGAGGGAGGCATATTCAGAGAAAAACTTCATCGTAAACTTGTCATATATAGCAAAAGCAAATCATGTCAGGTTCTTATCATTGTTACCACAAATGACTTAGAACAAAACAATATCCTGATAAGCATAATACTGTGATACTTATACTATGCTTCCTTTTCTCAGCTAGGTGTTTCAATTACTTCCTGAAATATGTAAAGTCACACCTTGCTGGTTTTCACCACCAAAAATAGAAATAAGGAAAGGAATACAAGCAGATTGCCAATTCTGGCATAGATGTTTGGAATATTAAAATAATTAATTATTAATTAAAAGCCATATTACAGTGAATGTAATCCTCTTCCCCCTAGGCAAATGCTTCATCAAAATGTTAGAAAATAAAGATCAATAAGCTGAAACACAAACTAAAGTGAAATATTGAATCACCATTTGGTATCCTGTTACTGTTTATCTGGAGAGGATTTCCCTGAAGTTCTGTGTTAGGAGCAAAAATCTGCATTTAAATGGAGATACATTAGTAATGCATGAGATAGTACTTTGCAGGTCACCCTATGTCTGCAGAATAGCAGCATTAATTTTGCTATTTAAAAATAAAAGAACCCAAGTAGTTTGTGGACTGATTTTCCTTTCATTCCTCCTAGTTTTACACTTGTGGTTTAGACTGACTTTAGTGGAGTTAATCTTGATTTACACTGATGGATACAAAGGAAAAATTGGGTCCTTGATCTCTGTGCAGTGGGAACTGCAAAACTGGAAGTTGCAAATAACAGTAATTTACAATAAAACATGGACTATTTTCAATATTGATGCAACAGAAGTACCATAAAGGCTTGCTGAGTCTGCTGGGAGGGAACAGGCTAGCCTGTTACTGCACTGATCCCCTCAGGGCCAAGGGGAGTTTTGAATAAGCAGAAAATTGCATTGGGCAATTTTTATAACTATTGTAGCTTTTGGTACCTGGCTTTGTAGCACAAAACAAGGGTTTTGCAATCTCAGTGTATTCATACAAGCAGGCTTATGAAAGCATTGAGAGGATATGGGG